CTCTGACCTTCCCTTTTTCCCCCCACTCTTCCCTTTCCCTCCTCCATCCCTAATCCCGACCCACCGCTTGGCAGCAGGAAGCACCGGGAAGCACCAGGAAACACCGGGAGTTTGGGAGGTGCCCAGGGCTGGGGGGTGACCCCCCCCCCCAGCCACCCCAGGGCCACCCCTGTCCCCTTCCTGGGCTGGGGAAGACCCCTCGTCCCGGCTCCGTTTTGTCCCTCCCTCTATGGAGGCCACAAGGATCCCGATTCCCGGACGTCCGGGAATCGGACGTGGGCAACTGGAGCGAGCCGGGATAAGCGGGCAGGGATGCGGGAGCGCGAGGGGCTTCCCTGGAGCTCCCGGCCCTTTCCTCGCTCCTTTTAACCTCTCCCGGGAAAGGCAGGGGAAAAAAATAGCTCCCAAATTTGCTGTTTTGTGGAGACGAAGGAGAGGAAGAGGTATCCCCAATCCCTAGGGATTAGGGATTGCTCCATTGGGAACTGTGGGTGTCATAAGCCACGTGTCTAGTGCCAACCTGGGAATCCTGCACAAATTCCCAGGTAAAAGCAACCCGGGAGGTGTTAGGAATACTTGCATAGCCGAGGAGAAATCCCAAGGATCCCAAGTGAGGTCCCAACTGGAAAAGGCAAGTTAACGTGAGGAATGTGGCATGAAAACAGCTGGCAGAAACTGCCCAAAATGCAGCCACGTAAAGAGGAGACCCAGAGACAAAATTGCCCCAGATGCAGGAGGCGGAATTCCGTATCCCGGCATCGGCAGCAGCATTATCCTAGGGTTCCCGAAGGTTTCACCCTCGGCAATTACAGGATGGGCTTTAATCGTTCTCCACCCGAGCAGCTGTGGAGTTCCCTGTGGCTTGCCAGGAAGGTGGGAATTCTGCAGCGTGTTTCCTCGCAGGCTCCAACGATGCCTCTCTGCTCGCGTTTCCATCGCGGCGTTTCCCATTGTAACCATTCTCCCAGTGTTCGTTCTCCCCATTCTCCCAATTCCCATTCTCCCCATTCTCCTGATTCTCCCAATTTTTACAATTTTCATTCTCCCAATTCTCCCAAGGATCGTTCTCCCGATTCTCCCAATTTTCATTTTCCCCATTCTCCCAATTCTTCCAATTTTTGTTTTCCCCATTCTCCCAATTCTTCCAATTTTTGTTTTCCCCATTCTCCCAATTCTTCCAATTTTTGTTTTCCCTATTCTCCCAATTCTTCCAATTTTCATTTTCCCTATTCTCCCAATTCTTCCAATTTTCATTCTCCCCATTCTCCCAGTTTTCACTCTCCCCGTTCTGCCCATTCTCCCAATTTTCTCCCCATTCTCACCCTTTTCCACGCTCTCCCCTCTCTAGAGCCCCTTGCCCTGCCACGCGTGGTGCCCGCGCCGCCGCTGAATGCGCCAGGAGGCAGCGGAGCAGGAGCGAGCGCCCCGGCAGCGGCAGCAGCGGCAGCGAAGATGGGCATGAGGATCAAGCTGCACAGCACCAACCACCCCAACAACCTGCTGAAGGAGCTCAACAAGTGCCGCCTCTCGGAGACCATGTGCGACGTGACCATCCTGGTGGGCAGCCGCTCCTTCGCCGCGCACAAGGCCGTCCTGGCCTGCGCCGCCGGCTACTTCCAGAACCTCTTCCTCAACACGGGGCTGGACGCGGCGCGCACCTACGTGGTGGACTTCATCACGCCGGCCAACTTCGAGAAGATCCTCAGCTTCGTGTACACCTCGGAGCTCTTCACGGACCTCATCAACGTGGGCGTCATCTACGAGGTGGCCGAGCGGCTGGGCATGGAGGACCTGCTGCGCGCCTGTCACTCCACCTTCCCCGACCTGGAGAGCTCGGCCCTCGCCAAGCAGCCCTCCGTGGCCACGGGTGAGGGCTTCACCAGCCCTCTGAGCAGCGCCTCGGCCGAGCACAAACTCCCCGTCGGGGAGCTGCGCGGCGCCAGGGAGCATTTCAGCTCCGAGCGGAATTACATCCTGCCGGGAGAAGCGGCGGGCGCCTACAAAGAGGATGAGCGGAATCCCGGGAGTGAAAACACGCTGGCTCTTGCGCTGCTGCCGCAGCAGCCCCCCAAGACGGAGCAGGAACCGGAGCAAGGGCAGTTCGCCGCGGGCGCCCAGCCCAACCTGGGCACCGTCAACGTTGTCCTTCAGTCCCCTGCGGGCTCCTGCCCGCAGTACAAGGTCCAGAGCAACGGCGACTACGGCAAGGGCGGCTTCTTTGGCGCCGACACTTCCCTGGACATCTCCATGGGGAGCAACTCCTGTCCCAGCAACAGCGACCACTCCAAGGAGCAGGGCTTTGGGCCCATGGAGGAGCTGCGCTTGGAGGACTTGGGGGACGAGGAGCTGCCTTTCGAAGACGCCGGCGAGGAGCTGGGCCCGACGGAGGAGGTCATCGAGCTGAGCGACGACAGCGAGGACGAGCTGCCCTTCGAGAGCGACGGCCGGGACGGCAAGGCCATGCCCTGCCAGGTGTGCAAGAAGGTGCTGGAGCCCAACATCCAGCTGATCCGCCAGCACGCCCGGGACCACGTGGACCTGCTCACCGGCAACTGCAAGGTCTGCGAGACGCACTTCCAGGACCGCAATTCCCGCGTCACCCACGTGCTGTCGCACATCGGCATCTTCCTCTTCTCCTGCGACATGTGCGAGACCAAGTTCTTCACGCAGTGGCAGCTCACGCTGCATCGCCGGGAAGGGGTGTTTGACAACAACGTCATCGTGCACCCCAGCGACCCGCTGCCGGCCAAGGCGCCCGCGCTGGCGCCAGCCTCCGAGCTGGCGTGCGCGGCCTGCGGGAAGCCGCTTGCCAAGGATTTCCCGGCCGTCCGCAGCCACGTGCTGGAGCACGTGCACCTGAAGAGCCAGACGTGCGGCGTGTGCGAGCAGAGGCACCTGAGCCTCTGCGGCCTCCTGTGGCACGCGCTCTCCCACCTGGGCGTCCCCGTCTTCTCCTGCTCCGTGTGCGCCAGCAGCTTCGTGGATCGGCACCTGCTGGAGAAGCACTTGGCCGTGCACCGGAGCGCCGAGGAGGCCCTGCTGCGGTGCCGCTTCTGCGGGCAGAGCTTCAAGCTGGAGGCCGCCTATCGCTACCACGTGAGCCAGCACAAGTGCGGCGGCCTGGACGGGCGCCCCGGCTTCGGCGACCGCCTCCGGCACCCGGCGCTGCCCAAGCGGAAGCTTCCCGAGGAATTCCTGAGCGAGGAGCCGGCGCTGCCCAACCAGCCGGGCAACAGCAAGTACAGCTGCAAGGTGTGCGGCAAGAGGTTCGCCCACACCAGCGAGTTCAACTACCACCGCCGCATCCACACGGGGGAGAAGCCCTACCAGTGCAAGGTGTGCCACAAGTTCTTCCGCGGCCGCTCCACCATCAAGTGCCACCTGCGGACGCACGCGGGCGCCCTCATGTACCGCTGCACCGTGTGCGGCCACTACAGCTCCACGCTCAACCTCATGAGCAAGCACATCGGCGTGCACAAGGGCAGCCTGCCGCCCGACTTCACCATCGAGCAGACGTTCATGTACGTTATCCACTCCAAAGAGGCCGAGAAGAACACGGACAGCTGATGGGGAGCAGCCCGGGAGCCGGCGTGCGGGAGCCGCGGGGAAAAAACGCCCTTCGTTTTATTTAATATGGTTGAATTCCCACCCGCCAGGGATGGATTTTGTTTTTCCTTTTCATTTGGGGGCCTTAGTAAGGTGATTTTTTTGGAGTGGCGTTGTGCAGATTGACAGCACGTGGGCAACGTCACCGTTCCCGAGGAGTCTGTGGTGTTTACTTACCTATGGTCCTGTTAGAGGACATGGGAGTTCCGTCTTCTTAGCGTTTCTCACTAGGGTTTTGATCTAGATTGGCTTTTTCTTTGTTGGTTGGGGTTTGTTTTTGAACCGTTTAGCCCATTTGACTCGGCTAACCCTCGGTTGGAGCTGAGCTGCCAACCGATGCTGCTACGAGTGTGAAACCAGACCTCAGCGGAGAGGGATGGAGCCGGAGACTGGACGCAAAAAGGACCTTAAAAAGGAGAGAAAGAAGGAAAAAAGAGACTCGTCGGGAGCCCGGCCGGGGCTCTGCTGCCCTCGTGGGCCGGTGCAAGGGGCTTGGAAAGGGGCCTGGAAATGGGGGGCCGGGCGAGTGGCAGGTGAGGGGGGCACCGGGCAGCGGGAGGGCGGGTTGTGATTCCCACCGGGAGGCTCCCGGGGGGGCCCTCGAGTTCCCACTGAGCCCCCGCCGTCCATCCCAAGGGAGATGGAGAAGCAGCCGGCTCCTTGGAGCAGCCCCCGTGGCTGCTGTGGCGGAGAAGAGATGGACGTTGGAGCCGGGACGTCTCGGGAGAAGCCCTGCCTGCTCCGGAGGGAATCATCCCGCCCGGCTTCCGCACGGATGCGCCGAGGCCCCCGCGGTGGAACCGGTGCCTTAACCCCCCGGAAAGGGGCCTGGGGAGGGACAGACCCCCCTGCTGGAAGGGGCCCCCGTCCTACATCCGATGGGTGCCGCAGGGTGTTGTTGGCGCCGGGGTGAGTCCGCTTGTTCTCGAGTCGCGCTGTAATTGGGTCGCGCTGTAGTTCCACGCGCGCCCGTCCTCGCGGCGTTCCCCTCCGGGAAGGCCGGGATCGGTTCTTCGCGGTTTTCCGGCCGCGGGGCGCGGGGGACCGGGCGCTTCGGCCGGAGCCGCCCTCGGGCGGCTCAAACTACCTCACGCACAGGAAGCGCTCGGGGCTCTCGTGCTGCTTTCCCACAAATAGGAATAATAGGAAGAATATAGGAATAATGGGAATAACAGGGATTCCCGGCGCCGCCCCCTGCTCCGGCGCTTCCCCCCTCTGCCTCAGTTTCCTCGTCTGCCGGTGACACTGGTGGCACCAACCTACCTCGCTGGAGCGCAGGGACGGCGGCTCGTGCCCGCGCGGCCCTCTGTGACCTGGTGGCTTTGAGGAAGATGAGGAGGAGGAGGAGGAGGATAACCCGATGCTGAAGGTGCCCAGGGCCATAGGGATGCCCGGAGAGGCGGCAGCGGCGCCGGGAGCTCCGGGTGACGGCGCCGCCTTTACGGCCAAGTCCCATCCCGGGCGGCTCCGGCCCTGGCCCTGCGCTGGAGAGCTGTGGAGCAGAAGCCTTTTGTGCACGTGAACCAAAAAGCCAAGTTTTTACCCCAAAACGCTGCCGGGCAGAGCAAGGCCACCCGCGTGGGCCCGGGAAAGCTCCTGTCCTTTGGGGACAGGAGCCGTTCCCAGCCGAGCCTGGTCCCTGGGTGGGTTTTTGCCTCCATTGCAGGCAGCTGCTCCGCTTCCCGTGGGAATTCCGGGTGTTTTCCCTTGGCGCGGGGCTCCGGGCGCCCTTCCTTGTGTTTCCGAGCGCTCCCTCGGCATCTCCTGCTCCCAACCGGCGCTCCGGCCTTTCCCAGGGAGGCTCCGGGGCTCCGGAGGGGGCGAGGAATCCGCCCGGCTTCATCCCGAATCCGGGAGAGCAGCCGCATCCCGCGGGAAACGGTTCCCGGCTCCGCACGCCACACAGAATTCCTACCTCAGCGTAGGGGATCCCGGGGATCCTCGGGATGCGGGGGAAGCCCTCGGCGCTCCTCCAGCCCTTCTGCTTTTAAAACACAAAACCACCTGATTTCACGTTAAAAAAACAAGTTTGAAAATTCCGTTTTTGTTCTGTTCTCCCCTTTCTCAATGGATCCAGGTCTCTAAATAATTGAGAGGAAAGCAGACGAGTGGAATTGCTGTCTAACGTTTCGCTTAAGTTCATCGTAGGTACCAACCTCCCGATATTTAAGTGTTTCCTATCTATTTGCTGTAAAATTTTGTATATTTTGTAAACTTTCCCATGCCCCGGATAGTAGATGTCGAAAATCGTTGTCCTTTTCTACTCCCTTGTCCGGCACAAAGTGTGGTTTTTATTTAGAATAATAAAAGAGAAAAACGGCGCCCGCTTGGACCTCGCTGCTTTGGGATAAAGGTGCTCCGGAGTAAAGGTACTCCGGAATAAAGGTACTCCGGAATAAAGGTACTCCGGAATAAAGGTACTCCGGAATAAAGGTACTCCGGAATAAAGGTACTCCGGGATAAAGGTGCTCTGGGATAAAGGTGCTCCGGAGTAAAGATGCTCCCGACATTTAATAGGTCAAATGCCGAGTTTTAAAGGGTTAATTCGGAGCGGGTGCCCCTGTCGTGGCCCTGTTTAATGTCTTTTTATTGTGTTTGTCCCCGCTGCGACACTGAGGAGTGGCTGAGGGTGGGAGGGATCCCTAGGGATCATCCAGCCCCGCGCCCGCTCCGGCAGGGACACCCGGAGCACCCAGGCAGCGGGTTTGGGAAGATCCCCAGGGAAGGAGCCTCCCTGGGCAGCCTGCTCCAGGCTCGGGCACCCTCGCACCAAAGAGGTTCCTCCTCACGTGGAGATGGGACCTCCTGGGTTCCAACGTGTCCCCATTGCCCCGTGTCCTGTCCCTGGCCACCACCCAGAAGACCTTGGCCCCGTTTCTTGGCCCCCTCGGGTGCTTGGCCACGTTGGCCAGGTCCCCTCTCATCCGCAGGCTTGCACCAGGACATGCCGCCCTGCGCCCGCCGTGTCCCCATCCCGGCCCCAGAGCCCTGTTTATTCCCTGCCTTCCTTCAAAAACAAGCGTGTTCCCAAGCAGCCCGAGGCCTCGGGTGGATTGATGAGCTCCGGGGGTGTCACCGTCACCCCCGCGGCCCAGGAGGAACCTTCTCCGGATGCTCCGGCTTCCTGCGCAACGGAGCATCCGTCATGTGAGATCTCGGACCTGCTGCTCGTGCCACCGTCCCCTGCGTCACCAGCCCCGTGGGACCCTCAAAATGTGTCACCCGGCCTCGGGAACCCGCCGCGAGTCCCTCCAAGGGAGGCTGGGTTTAGCGGGACGGCTCCTGGCAAAGCTCAGCCTGGAAGCCCCGGGCCCCAGGCTGGTGTCGGCAGCCGCAGCCACGGAGTCTGTCCGGGACCTTCTCCTCGGCGGGGGATTTGGGAAATCTGCTCTCAACTAGTGCGTGTGGATGTGCGGAGCCGTGCGGAGCTCTGGGCACGGTAATGCATGGATCCATGTGGATCCGTGCGGAGCTCTGGGCATGGCAATGCATGGATCTGCATGGATCCGTGTGGAGCTCTGCACATGTTAATATGTGGATCCGTGTGGAACCCTGTGTGTGTTAACGTGTGGATCCGTACGGAGCTCCACGCACTTAACACATGGATCCATGTGGATCTGTGCGGAGCTCAGTGCATGGTAATGCATGGATCCGTGTGGATCCGTGTGGAGCTCTGCACATGTTAATATGTGGATCCGTGTGGAGCCCTGTGTGTGTTAACATGTGGATCCATGCGGAGCTCCACACACATGAACACACAGATCCATGCGGATCCATGCGGAGCTCTGTGTGTGTTAACATGTGGATCCATGCGGAGCTCCACACACATGAACACGTGGATCCATGCGGAGCTCTGTGTGTGTTAACATGTGGATCCATGCGGAGCTCTGCACACATGAACACACAGATCCATGCGGATCCATGCGGAGCTCTGTGTGTGTTAACATGTGGATCCATGCGGAGCTCCGCACACATGAACACACAGATCCATGCGGATCCATGCGGAGCTCTGTGTGTGTTAACATGTGGATCCATGCGGAGCTCCGCACACATGAACACACAGATCCATGCGGATCCATGCGGAGCTCTGTGTGTGTTAACATGTGGATCCATGCGGAGCTTCACACACATTAACACGTGGATCCATGTGGATCCATGCGGAGCTCTGTGTGTGTTAACATGTGGATCCATGCGGAGCTTCACACACATTAACACGTGGATCCATGTGGATCCATGCGGAGCTCTGTGTGTGTTAACATGTGGATCCATGCGGAGCTCCGCACACATGAACACACAGATCCATGCGGATCCATGCCGAGCTCTGCACATGTTAACGCCCACGTGCGCAAGCCTGGGGTCACGGCAAGCCAAGGACACGTCGGTGCCCCCGCGCGGCACCGCGGGCGCCGGGCCCCAGGGCGGCTTCGCGGTCGCGCTGCAGAGCACACAGAGGAATTGGCTTTATTCCCGCAACCATCCCGCTGGAAAAACAGGAAACCTCTCCAGCTGTCATTGTTTCTTTGGCTAAACAGATCCGACAGAGCAGCAGATCAGAGAGCGGCCGCCCGCAGCGCCTTGTGCCGGGCTCCCCGCTGCCCGCGCGAGCCGGGGAGCGAAGGCTCCGACCGCGGCAGCCGTGGGAAGGGCGCCAGGCTCAGGGAGCCGGGCGCTCGGTGGGCGCCGCGGTGCCGTCCTTGGCGATGACGATGGAGTGCTGCGTGCTGGAGGAGGAGCCGCGGGCGCCGCGGCCGCCCCCGCGCTCCTTCGGGAGATACTTGACCACGGCGGCGACGAGCTGGCCGCGGAAGCGCTTGCTGAGGAAGTTGTAGAGCACGGGGTTGAGGACGCAGTGGAGCAGCGTGAAGCAGTCGACGACGTCGTAGAAGAAGTAGAGCAAGTGGGCGAAGGGGCAGCGCAGGGCCAGGTGGCTGCCGTCGAGCGCCAGCAGCGTGAGCAGCACGTGGAAGGGCAGCCAGCTGAGCAGGAAGACGGCGATGTAGGCGTAGATGAGCGCGCAGTGCTTCCCCGTGACCGCCTTGGCGCGCTTGACGTGTCTGGCCGTGAGCACGTTGAACACGGCGATGATGGGGAAGGGGATGAGGAAGCCGATGGTGGTGGTGGCGAAGCTGACGGCCAGCGCCCACTCGTCGTAGGTCTCGAAGGGGGCCAGGAAGATGCACACGGGGTCTCCGGTGTTGACCAGCTGCATGTGAGTGACCTCCAGGAAGGGGATGGTGGCCGCCAGCACCCAGCTGCAGCCGCAGATGATGCGGCGCGCGCGGTGCTGGTGCCTACGCCAGAAGGCGGAGGAGGACGTCAAGGACACGTAGCGATCCACGCTCAGGCAGGTGAGGAAGAAGATGCTGGCGTACATGTTGGCAAAATAGAAGTAGTGGGTGAAGCGGCAGAGGAAGCTGCCCCAGAGCCAGGTGTAATCCAGCATCACCTCCAGCATCCAGATGGGAAGCGAGAGCAGCACCCCGAGGTCGGCGATGGCCATGTTGATGATGTAGAGGTTCACCAAGCTCCTGTTGCGCCGGGTCTGCCAGTTGACCCAGAGGACGAGGAGGTTCTCCACCAAGCCCACCACGAAGATGACCAGGTAGAGGATGAAGAGGACGACCCGCTTGACGTTCTCATCCAGGCTGAACTCGCAGTAGGTGAAGGTGTAGTTGAGGAGCTGGAACAGCTCCGTCCAGTTGTGGTAGTCGCCGGGCTGGTTTGCGACGGTGGGCGTCACGCTGGGAGCCGTGGTCATCTCAGCCATCCTGCTAGCTGTGAAGAAGGGGAGAGCACTAAAATGGGGGGTCTTGGCACCCAGGGGGAGCAGGGAGCCAGCGCGGGTGCTCCCCTAAACCCTCTCTGCTCTGTGAAACCATTGTCTTCCATGGAGGAGAAAGGACGGGCTTGGATGGGCAGCCAGGGACATGTGGGCACCTGGGCAGGTCTCAGCGTCTCAGCCACAGCTTTGGTCCCTCTGCACCACGGACAGAAACTGTCATTTGGCTGCGTCCTCCCTGCCCCTTCACTTGCTCCCAAGGGGCTCCCAGCCTTCACGTTGCTCCTTTCCCCCCGCAGCGGCTGCGCTGCCAGTCCCGGGGCGCTCCAGGCGTTCCAGACGGTCCCGGCACTTGCGGTGCCGGGGACTCCCATCCTCCCAGCCTCGCTCTGCACCCGGTTTTCTCTGCCGATCCCTTCCCACGCGTCCCCAAAGCCGCTGGGCTCCCCTCAGCAATCCCAAGCAGGTGTCGAAATGACCAGCTTAAGGGAACCGTGATTGACCTTAACGCCCTTTCATTGCCGCGAGCGGGAACGCTCCGTGCTGCCGCCGCCGCACCAGGACACGGGGGACCGGCTGCCGTGGAGGTGCCGGGAGGCTCCCCCGGGCTCCCCGGAGCATCCCCGGCTGCTGCAAATCTCTACCCCCCATCCCGAGGGATCCGGGGAAGGGTCGGAGCGGCCGCGCCGGGAGCCGCAGGTGCCGAGGAAGAGGAAGGAGGCGGCGGGAGGGAGGAAGCGACGGTACCTGGGCGAGAGCCGGGGGGTCCGCGCGGGGCGAGCGCCGCTCGGGGCTGCTGCTGCTCGGAGGCGGCGCCGGGGCCGGTAGCGGCTCCCGCAGGAAACGAGCGCGGCCGCCGCTTTCCGGAGACGGGGCGGCCGCGACGGGGCCGCGCTTGATGTGGCCGCGGGGCGCGGGGCGGGGGGGGCGGCCGCAGCCGACGGGGCCCCCTCGGGAGGCGGGAGCCGCCGCTGCGGGACGGGGCCGCCGAGGCGGGACCCTCCCCGCGGGGCTCGCGCCGCTTCCTTTGGAGAAACCGGGAGAAAAGACAAGGAAAGAGCCGCGCAGCTCCCGGAGCCGCGAGCGGCGCGGGGTCCGAGCGGGGGGCCCTGCCCTGCGCTGGGGAGGGGGCTCCGGGCAGCGCCCGGCCGGGGGCTGCAAGGCCCGAGAACAATTCCAGGAAACAAGGCACGGGCAGGAAGGGCCGGCGGGAACCGGGAAGCACTGATAACCCGGGCCGCGCGCGGCCGCCCCGGCTCTGTCCGCGCCAGGGGGGCGTTTTGCTGTCAGAAATTGAGGCAGAAACAGGTTAAATGAGTTATTTCATCTCAGCAGCCGCCAGGAAAGGCAGGAGCAGAGCCAGAGCGGGGCTGCTCCGTGTGGGAGAGGGCAGCAGCAGGAGCATCCCGGCAGTGCCGGAGCAGGAGCCGCGCTCCGCCTGTTTCCCATCCTTGGCCAAGCAGCTCCTATGGGCCAAAAGCACCTGGGATTCGGGCTTGGGGCTGCATCCCGCCATGCCCCAAGGCTCGGGTTGGCCCGGGGCTCCTGGCCCCCAGCAGGGCCGGGCACCCTGCCCTGCACAACGCTCCGGCTCTGCCCTTTGTGTGCAGATAAATGGGAAAAGGGCCGTTTCCTCTCCGGAAAGCTCCTGCTGCGGCGGCAGCGGGGTCCCCCGGAGCGGGCGGATCGGGCTGGCGGCAGGAAGGCAGCGAGGGAAGGCTGATAAGGGCTGCAGATGCGGCCGCCCTCCGCCCTTCCCGACCTGTCAGCGCTTTGCCGGGAGCTGCAGAGCCGGTGGCAGCGGGGCCGGGCCGGCCCGCGCGGCGCTGCCCTCCGCACTCCTGCTCTTCCTTCCATTGTCCGCCGCTATCTCCGCGTTTCCCTGCGCACGGGGGGCAGCGGGAGCAGCCGCGGGGCCCCCGGGAGAGGCGTCGTGGGAGCGGGATCCAAGCGGGATGTGGAGGGTACCCCGGTGCGCAGCGTTGGTGCCCGCGGGCCCCGTGCCCGGCCAGGCCATCGGACCTGCCACGTCGCAGCTGATGCCCCCAGGTGCAGGCTAAGGCCTGGAGAGGCTGTGGGAGGGGGAAGATGCCAGAACCAGAACCAGGAGCTGCGAGCGCAGGGCCCAGCCCTGGCCCATGGTGCCTTTCCATAGACCTCAGCTGTGGGCATTCGGGCACAGAGGGGCTCTTTGCAGCCCTGGCCTTTCCCCATGGTGATTTCCTTCATTTTTCTGGCATATGTTCTACTTCAACTTCTGAGCTAAGGAACTCCTTTCCTTTCCTTTCCTTTCCTTTCCTTTCCTTTCCTTTCCTTTCCTTTCCTTTCCTTTCCTTTCCTTTCCTTTCCTTTCCTTTCCTTTCCTT